TAAAATTATAAACGAGAAGAATCGATCCAGAAATATTGCATTTCCATATCGAATAATTTCGCAACGTCACTATTTAGTACTTGTCATAACGTTGCAACACTGAAATTGTCAAATCTGGAATCGAATTAAAATTCCGAGTATAGTTATAGTGGATGACATTAAATCAATCTAGAAAAAGAAAAATATTAGTAAATATCTTATTCAAGAAAGAATTCGCGTTCGTTTAGAATATAGAACATGGCTTCAAACTTACAAATAGTATCTATGATAAAGAAAACAAAAAAAATATAAAAATAATTCTTTTTACAGATGCATGGTATGAAACCCTCCAATCAGAATCATGGAAGCGATTCTACGCGAACCAGGACAAGAACTTCTTCGTGGACGAGTCAAAAAGGATAACGCCATCAAAAATCACAGACGACTTCGGTGTAGAGGGAACCTTCAGAAAACTAGAATTAGATTAATTTATACCCAATTAGAGTTACATTTAAGGCTATATTCGCATGTCCCCAATAAGTTCCTGGTAAATTTAATTGGCAGATAGTGTTAAAATGTAGATTTATGTGGTGGATAGCTGCTATGAAACGGACCATTAGGAAAGTAATATACCTCTAGTTAGACAATTATTGTTGTGATTTAAGAGTTTTTTCTAAGTAATTATGGTGTTTAAGCAAGTGCCAATCTCTGAGCGATTGATGTCTGAATTTGGTTTCGGTTCATTTCCGAGGGCTGAGTACGAATTTATATTACGTTGAAAGTAATGAGACCGTGCTGGGCGCTCTGATTGGCCGGCTCCCATAAACCAACCAATCAGAGTGCTGCGTCGAGCGCGGTCTCGCTTCAATTATTTCAACGTAAAACAAACTTGTAGTAAAGCCTCTGAAGTTGATCAATTTCACAGAATACAGAAATAGTGTTCTAATTAATTCTCAGAATGAATTTGTTATAGTGACTGCGTCGTTACTAAAGTGGTTATGTCGTAGAGCAAAGTCTACAAAATTATTATTAACATTTGGGTGATTGAAAAATTATAAGACATACGAAATTAATAATTATGTTTTTCGACTTACTCACGTAATTGACGCGCTGCGACAGTAGCCGCGTCGCGTGTCGCGAAATACTGCTCATGACTATGAGCCTCTAGCATGGCTTGAATCTAGTCAGGTTCCGCGTAAGCCGAAAAACATAATTATTAATTGAAAAAATCTTAAGTAGTATCACGAAGGCTTATATTGTGTTCTAAAATTCGCCTCTATTACATGTAAACGACTTATAACATAACTGTTGCCTAGACTAAACCTATCTGGCCAAGATCAAGATCTTGACCGGACTCCAATTTGCATTTCATTGTCGATTTCATGCATTTTAGGCCTAGAATAATAATTATATCAATTAATTCAGTGGTATTCCGATACGGGTGTCAGTACTTATGTGATATTTTAACTTAATAATAATTGTCATTATTAAACATTATTTAGAGTAGACTGACGACATTCCCAAGATGGCTTGCAGTGGTTGGATGAAATGAGCTGAAGACCGAGCTCAGTGGCGTGCCATTGCAGAGGCCTATGACCAGCAGTGGACGAATACGGGCTGATGATGATGATTAAGATTAGAAGGAAATACTCTCTGTCTCATTTATAATAATATGGATTCAATTGTAAAAGAAATTTAAGCGACAATTTTACCAGTACCTATTTAAATATTACTCGAAATGATATAAAAAATGCAAACATAAAAACATATGTACTTATAAATACTAAAAAACGCTATGTATTGTGTGATAAACACTATTATTATAAAAATAACAATATCTCAATGAAAGTTCTAACTAATTTAACGCCATTCCTAGATGGCATCACTGTCGAGTTATGTCTTGTAAATCTAACCACTGACAGTTTTTATTGAGCAAAATTACTACAGTTGATTTGCAGACGTTTTACCTAGGTATTAAAGACACAAATTATTGTTAATTTAGGTTAGTAAGTTGTTTGTCTATAAGTGTCTAATTAACTTTAGTATTTTAAGTAGGTATCTTTCAGTGAGATATTCAAATAAATGAGGTGAATTATAGAGCTTGTTTTTTTTCATTAACCTTAGGGAATGCAGATGGGATTTTAACCTAACCAATTTTATATCAGTCTCCCTCGTTGGCTGAGTGGTTGCAAGTGCTACTGGTGCCAGGGGTCTCGGGTTCGATTCCCGGGTAAAGCGTTACTGGGTTTTAAAAAAGTTCCAATAGTAGCACAGAGTCTAGAATTATGCCCGGTAATTGACAATAAGCTCACCCTCTATTACGTGGGACTTATAACATAAATAGCGTAAAGTAGGTGTTACATTGTAGAGTGGCATTAAGTGCCGTAATGTGCACCTTTGCCTACGCCTTCGGGGGTAAAAAGGCGTGATATTATGAGATTTTATATAAAATCCCTATTCTAACCTGAAAGAACGTCGCGGAGTACCTAACAGGTTACCGGGGCTCCGACTCGACGTGGAGGAGAAGGAACGGGGTGGTTTTTATTCAGTAAAAGTCTGACACTCCCTCTCGCCTCACCCAGGCGGGAACAGTCATTCGATGATTTTCCCCCCTTAAAAATAAATCTGAAAAAATGATATTGACTAAACAAAGACAGAGCATCGTCAAGACCACATCGACATGCCCAATGGCAATATGTAATGGGTTTGCAATTTTAAA